TTAAAATAAATAATGTTCTTTAGTAAGTAACATACATTCCACATTATTAATTATGCTACCAAAATTAGTAAATTGCTTTCAGCGTTGTTCCAGTTGCTTTTTGCTGGAGGCTGCCGTTTTGTTGAAACCCAGAGCCCCTGAACAGCAGTAAATCGTAAAGCAGAACTAAACCCTACTATCCTTATCAGCCAAGGAAGCTACCTAAAAATGGAGAGCAACTGAGCATGTGCAAAGCAGGGTGGGACAGTGTATTGCTGGATTTTAAACTGTATAGGCACTTATTTATAATGTTTTACATTGCTATACTTGCAAAAGTGGCCGGCGTGAAGTGATCAAGCAAGACTTAATTTTCTGAATAAAGTTTTCTGAATAAAAGTAAAAAAAAAATGTAATAAAAGAAAATTTTGCATAATCCCCATTGCTGTGCACACATCCACAAATACAAACGCGCACCCAGGGTGTGCGCATGCATGTAAACCGCATTGGCATCAAACATATGAGATATCACCGTGAACATCCAAGTGAGAGCAATAATTATACTTTTTTGGGTACCATTGCTCTTCCCACTATCAGGGGCATACACAATTTTAAGACTTGATCTGTTATATTTTTTATTGTGTTTGTGTGCACTAAAATTCATTTTATTACATTTTTTTTCCAGATTATATGCATTTGATAAACAGTTGCCCAAATAGGTGTAACTTAAAAAATTGCAACTGATATCTTGTTGTTCTTCAAGGCCTCTGATTTAAGAAAATATATCATGTACTGAGGGGTTTAGGTAATCTTTTAGCCACAAATGTGGATTTTTACATGCGTCAAAAAAAAAAATTATTATTTCTAGAGCAGAAGTGGTTAAAATGCACTGCAATGAGAGACATGGGTATGATCAAAAAAAAAAGTGTCTTACTGGCAACTAAATCTTACTGGCAATATAAATGTGTCGGAAAGGTGTTCAGTGTTTTATAAATATTACTGGTTGCCAGCTTATTCCAGGTTAGTGAATTACTAGCTATTGAATCAAGGGTTGAGATAACAAACCAGCATCCTGTGCTATGCTGTCAGTATCTGCTCCTCAAATTTCTGTCCTTCGCATTTGTAAAACTAGAATGTAGCCATCAAGCTTGACTGGTGACTTCTGTTTGATGTTTTTCACACAAGTATTTATTTCAGGCACTTATCTAGCGCCGTCAGTTTACGCAGCGCTTTACATATATATTGTACATTCACATCAGTCCCTAACCCTCAAGGGGCATACAATCTAAGGTCCCTAACTTACATTCACATACTAGGGCCAATTTAGACAGGAACCAATTTACCTACCAGCATGTCTTTGGAGTGTGGGAGGAAACAGGAGTACCCAGAGGAAACCCACGCAGGCACAGGGAGAACATGCAAACTCCAGGCAGGTGGTGCCATGGTTGGGATTCGAACCAATGACCCTAGTACTGCCAGGAGGAAGTTCTAACCATTTAGCCACTGTGCTGCCCAATAAGTATTCTTGCTTCATAAAAAATTTCCTATCTGGAACACTGAGAAATATATAATTGCATTTGTTATAATCTCTTAAGTTTCATTAATTTTTTTTTTTCTTTAAAAAAAATGACATTGATGTTTGTCAAACATGCTTTTGAGTATCAAGCAATAAGAATTCATTCAGCTGTCACTTTTTCTCTTCAGAATGTCTGGAATGATTTCTGGCTCTGGTAATCCTATGGCAGGTGCTGCTGCTGCTGCTGCAACTGGAACCCCTCCACCCACAGATCTGGCAAGTCTTATACAAGCGTATGTACAATTTAATTTTAACTTCTTTACTTTATATTGTTTTCATAAAATAAGAGCTAAAACCACTCTCCCAAGTTGAGGAAGGCCTAATTTAGGTTTCACCGATCCTTCTAGTTAGCATTCCATAGTGGAGGCCAAAAACAGCATTTGCTCAAGGCTCACCAGGACTGGAGGCTCAACAAAAGAATTTTACATCATTATGCTGTAGGAGGATTGGACACCAAATTGAAACAAAATTGTGAGACAAGACCGGAAAATCCCTCCTACTATCAGTGTTCCTCAGTTTATTGCTAATGTCTTAGCTGGTTGAAGAAAAGACATTTAACCACTACAGAAGGTTTTACCCCCTTCATCACAATTCCATTTTTTTTGCTATTCAGCACTGTGCTACTTTAACTGACAATTGCTCAGTAACACTGTGCCCAAATTAAATTTATATATATTTTTCACACAAATAGAGATTTCTTTTGGTGGTATTTGATTGCCACTGGGTTTTTTTTTTTTTTTTTGTTATATAAACGAAAAACAGTGAACATTTTGAATAAAACAATATTGCCTACTTTCTGTTATAAAACACATCAATAAAAAAAAAACACATCAATAAAATAAAATAAAATTTCTTCATAAATTTGTGCCAAAATGTATTCTGGTACATGTCTTTTGTTAAAAAAAAAAAAAAAAAAAAAAAAAAAAATCCCAGTAAGTGTATAATAATTGGTCTGTGTGAAAGTATAGCGTCTACAAAATATGGTGTGTGTATATATGTGTATGTATGTGTGTGTGTGTGTGTATATGTATGTGTATATATATATATATATGTATGTGTGTGTATATATATATATATATATATATATATATATATATATATATATATATATATATATATATATATATAATGTGTATTTGAAAATTAATCAATCATGATGGCCTATTTCATTTCTTGAGACTCTAAAATGACCCCTTTTTGGTATGGTGAGCTTTTTTGAAGTTGTAATTTTTTTTTTTGTTACAATTTATTTGGAAAATGAGGAAGTTGCTTTTTTTCCCCTACCGTCTTTCAGGCCAGCACTCTGAGAGACCTCGGCTCCTCCCCATCTGAGGAAACACCTCCACCTACAATAAAAAAGCTCCACTCCCCTCTGACCTCAGTTCAGGTGTTTCCTCCGGTGGGGAGACACGAGGAGGCGCAGGAGGACGATAGGGGAGCCGAGGGCCGGATAGCCGGCTGTGAGGCCCGACGCAGCCGGGAGTGAAGGCCGGAGTGTCCGGCTGCATATCCTCCCAGGGCAGGCTGCCAGCAGTGAGAGTGCATCCCGGGGGACGGGACAGGGCACTTACCTGCTCTTCGCCCCCCGGCCCCCTCCGGCGAGGGGGGGTGTCGGGGTGGCCGTGGTGAGGTCTGGGGAGGATCGGGGGGAGTTCCGCTCCTTCCCATGCTGGCGGTCTGAGGGCTTTGCCGGGCCGGACGTCGGGAGACGGCGGTTTTTTCCGGCGGAAGGGGCGGGGCTTCGCCCAGGGCCGCGACTTCCGCTTCCGGTCGCGGCCTTCACACCACGGCGGCGCGAAAATTGAATGTGGCGGTGCGGTGCACAGCGGTCTGGGGGACAGACCTGCACCAGGCGACCACCCTCCGGTACGGGATGTCGGAGGCACCGGGACCAGGAGATGCCAGCACCAGCCAGTCGCAGGTAAGGTGCCTCAGTGAGGCCTCCCCTACCTGTGGGCCCCTAGCAGAAGGTAGGGCAAGGGGTCTGTGGTTTTTCAGGCCCTTGTTGCTCTGCCGGAAGCAGGGGGGGGGGGTGTTTTAGTGTCGGACTGATTGGGCTTCCCCCCCCCCCCCCCCCTTTTTCTTTTGTGTCTTGCAGGGCAAGGCCCGAGCTAAACTTAGGCACCAGGAGCCCAAGCGGAGATGCCCTTCCTGTAAGGAAGTTCTAAAAGAATCTTGGCGAAAGGTTCTTTGTGGCCCATGTATACAGGGGTTGGTGAGGGAGGAGAAGCCGGAACAGGGGGACCTAGCTAGGTCAGTGAAGGAGTTGGCTACCACCTTCGACTCCTTCAAGTCCCTCATGGAGAGGTTTGCCCTCCCATTACCTACACTTCCCCCCCCCCCCCCAGGTGGCTTCGGTGAGTCGTCGGGAACCCCTTATGACTGGGGAGGAACCAGTGGGGGACTCCCAGTCTGAGGAGGATTCAGCGGGTGAGGGTCCCTCAGAGGAAGGGAGGGGCCCCTCCCCGGTATAAGTTGACCCTAGAGGAGGTTGATGAGCTCCTGGGGGCTATATACGAAACCCTGGACATTAAGGAGGAGGTTAAGGCCTTATCTCTCCACGACCAAATGTATCAGGGATTGGAGGAGCACCAGCACAGAATGTTTCCTGTGCATGACATTTTGGTAGACACGATTAAGAAGGAGTGGCAAGACCCGGAAAGGAAACCGTTCTTCTCAAAAGCGTTGAGGAGGAGGTTTCCGTTTTCGGAAGACCCGGAGGCGGTCTGGAACAAGAGCCCCAGGCTAGACGCGGCCTTTTCCCAAACAACCAGGAGAACTGACCTAGCGTTTGAGGACATGGGGGTCTTACCGGACTTATTGGACAGAAGGGCAGAGTCTCTCCTTAGGAAGGCCTGGGACTCGACCCTGTACAACCTGAAACCGGCCATGGCTACGACAGTGGTAGCCAGGAACTTAGAGTATTGGCTTACGCAATTACAGGCCCATATTGTGGCAGACTCTCCCAAGGAAAAAATCTTGGCCTCTTTTGAGACCCTTTTGCAAGGAGTGGGGTATATTGCGGATGCTTCCGCAGAGTCGGTGAGATTGGGGGCCAGGTCTGCTGCCCTGACCAATTCAGCCAGAAGGGCGCTGTGGCTAAAGACATGGCAGGGGGACATCACTTCAAAAGTTAGGTTATGCGGCATCCCCCTCACAGGAGACTGTCTGTTCGGCCCGGGGTTGGAGGAATTATTGGACCGGACAGCTGATAGGAAAAAGTCCTTCCCCCTCAAGAGGAAAATGCAGGAGGGGGGGACACGGAAGGCCCGCCCGGCAAAGAGGCTGAGCCTGCGACCGCCTGGTCAGGGTAGGTCGGCTGGACAGAGAGGTAGGGGAAGAGGGGGGGCGATTTTTCGCCCTCCTGAGCAGCCCCAAAAACCAAGGTGACTTGGTTCCTCCTGTGGGGGGAAGATTGGCGGCATTCCTCCCACAGTGGGAAGCCGTGGTCACCAGCCCCTTCATTTTGGATGTCATCCGAAGGGGTTACCGGTTAGAATTTCTGAGACCGCCACCCGAGACTTTTCTAGTGACGACCCGTCCAAGGGATCCGACGAAGGACGCGGCTCTGGTGGGCGCTTTGGAGATTCTGGAGTCCCAGGGGGTCATCTCCAGGGTTCCGGTAGCGGAGCGAGGGAAGGGAGTTTTTATTCCCATGTGTTTGTGGTTCAAAAGCCGTCTGGGGCGTTCAGACTGATTTTGAACCTGAAACCCTTGAACAAGTCAGTACGTTACCGGAGGTTCCGCATGGATTCCATTTTTACAATCAGGTCCCTAATCCCACCAGGTGCATTCATGGCATCCATAGACTTGAAGGACGCCTACCTACACGTGCCCGTGGCGGAAGCCTCTCAGAGGTTCCTCAGGTTGGCAGTGGGGGGGGAGGAAGGAATTCGACACTGGCAGTTCAGGGCTCTTCCATTCGGCCTTTCCTCCTCGCCAAGAGTATTCACCAAGGTTCTGTCGGAGGCACTGATTTCTATCCGCTTGAGGGGGATTTCAGTGGTGGCCTATCTGGACGATTTGCTGCTTTTCGCAGATTCAGAGGCTCACTTACGGCAAGACCTGGTTATAGTGAGGAACCATCTGGAAAGCTTGGGGTGGGTTTTGAATCTGGAGAAGTCCTGCCTGGTGCCTTCTCAGAAGGTGATTTACTTGGGCTACACACTCTAGACTCGGTAGACCAAAAGACCAGCCTGACTTTGGAAAAGGTCACCAAGTTGGAGGCCGGAGTCAGATTACTGCAGGGGAGCAGGTCGATGTCCATAAGACAGGCCATGTCGGTACTTGGATTGCTGACAGCGTCCATTCCGGCAGTTCAGTGGGCAGGTCTGCATATGCGTCCCCTCCAGTTGTGGATCCTGAGGGTTTGGGACAGGAAGTGTCACTCCCTAGAACGCAGGGTCTTGGTGCCCCCCAGTGTGAAAAGGTCTCTATGGTGGTGGAGGAGATCGTCCAGCATAACTCAGGGGCTGTTGTGGTGCTTTCCGATTTCCGCGGAGGTCACTACGGATGCCAGCGCCAGGGGCTGGGGAGCCCACCTGGGAAATTTGGTGACTCAGGGGGAATGGTCCTTAGGGCAGAAGGACAAATCCTCGAATTGGAAGGAATTGAGGGCAGTGTGGGAGGCTCTGCACTCCTTCCAGGCGGAGGTCAGGGGCCGGCACGTGCGTGTCCTGACGGACAATGCCACGGCAGTGGCTTATATAAACAGGCAGGGAGGGACGCGGAGCAAGGCCCTCGGGGCCTTAGCGGCGACACTGTTGTCCTGGGCAGAACTGAATTTGGCGTCCCTGTCTGCGATACACTTAAAGGGGGAGCTGAACCAGAAGGCAGACTTCCTGAGCAGGACTCGGCTCAGGGAGTCGGAATGGGCCTTGAACCCCGATGTCTTTCAGGAGATTGTGCGAAGGTGGGGATCCCCGGAGGTGGACCTTTTTGCCTCCGGAAGGAACAACAAGGTCCCAAATTTCTTCTCTCTATCCCGCTGGGACGGGTCCAGAGCGGTGGACGCATTAGGTCAGAGGTGGGACTACCGGCTTTGTTACGCCTTTCCCCCCGGTTCCTTTGCTCCCCCTGGTCCTGAGGAAATTCAGGACAGAGGGGACCTCGTTAATACTGATAGCTCCCTTCTGGCCGCGGCGGGCGTGGTTTGCGACCCTGAAGAGTTTGGCCTCTCGTCCACCCTGGGAGCTGCCTCCAAGAGTGGATTTGTTAACACAGGGGCCGGTTCTTTGCCCCAGCATAGGAAGATTGCGGTTAACGGCCTGGTTTCTGAGCAGCAGCTCCTCTTAGAAAAGGGGTTCTCGCCTAGGGTGGTGGCGACATTACTGGCCAGTAGGAAGGAGGAGACCCAGGCCATTTATGGTAGGGTCTGGGGTTGCTTTACAGCCTGGTGTGACCGGACAGCTGTGGTAACCCATAGTTTGGTTTCTGTGTTGGAATTCCTGCAGGCGGGAGCGGACAAGGGATTGTCTGTCAGCACGCTCAAGGGCCAGGTCTCGGCCCTCAGTGTGTTCTTGGAGACGCCCCTGGCCAGGGAGGCGTTGGTGAGTAGGTTTTTCAAAGCTCTGGTGAGGCAGAGGCCTCCGAGGTCCAGACCATTTCCAGTGTGGGATTTGGCCAAGGTGCTCGGGGGGATGACTAGGGCTCCATTCGAGCCCTTGGAGTCCGTCCGATAGGTGAGCTCACCATTAAGACTGCTTTTCTGGTGGCGATTACCACGGCGAGGAGGGTGTGTGAGATGGAGGCCCTCTCGATCAGAACACCCTATCTCCGTATTTTTTTCAGACAGGATCGTTTTCAGACCAGACCCGTCCTTCATTCCGAAGGTAGCTCGGAGTTTCCAGAGGGAACAGGACATTGTCCTTCCCTCATTTTTTCCTGACCCGGTGGGGGTAGATCAGGAGAGGTATCACTGTTTAGATGTCAGAAGGTGCGTTCTCCAGTATCTAGAGAAATCTAGGGAGTTCAGAAGCACCGAATCCCTTTTTGTTTTTTTTAAGGGGGCTAGAAGAGGCAAGAAGGCGTCTAGAAGGACGCTGGCCAGCTGGCTGCGGCTGGCGATTACAGGAGCATATCAGGCAGAAGGCCTGGAGGTCCCGGAGGGTATCAAGGCACATTCCACCCGAGCTGTGGCGGCTACCCAGGCAGAGTTAGCAGGGGTTTCCCCAGGGCAGATTTGCAGAGCGGCAACATGGTCCAGCTATGACACATTTGCCAAGCATTACAGACTGGACCTGGTCTCGGTGTGCAGGAGCAGGACTTTGGTCGTAAGGTCTTACAAGCAGTTAGCCCGCCCGAAGGGTGAGTACTCGCTTATCCTCTCAGAGTGCTGGCCTGAAAGACGGTAGGGGAAAAAACCAAGTTACACTTACGGTAACGTCTTTTCCAGGAGTCTTTCAGGCCAGCACCGGTTTCCCACCCACTGTTGATATTGGTTATGTGAAGATGGCTTATTATGATTATGTTGTCTCGCATTGTGTCTCCCCAGATGACCGGAGGATGCTTGGAGAACTGAGGTCAGAGGGGAGTGGAGCTTTTTTATTGTAGGTGGAGGTGTTTTCCTCAGATGGGGAGGAGCCGAGGTCTCTCAGAGTGCTGGCCTGAAAGACTCCTGGAAAAGACGTTACCGTAAGTGTAACTTGGTTTTTTTTTTTTTTTTTTCCTTACTGTCACCAGTGCAGTACAGCATCATATGACTGGTGTGGCAGTGATCAAGGATTCGGACTGATGACAGTATGTAAAAAGCAGGTGATCAGGGCCTTTTTTGATTTTTTTTTATTTATTTTTTTTAAATTGTGATTGCTTTTAGAGTGATGATCACTGTAATAGCAGTTCTTTGAACTGTCATGAATAATTTTTGAAGCTCTTGGACAATATTTTGGCTTGGCTGGATAAAGATTATGTACAGATATTAAAAAAAAACAGAAATCACAATAATTCATTGGGAAAAAGAAATTAAAAGATGCTTAGTATATAATTAGCATTGAATGAAAAATGTGTATCCCACGCCACCTATAAGTGAAATATGTGATAAATACACTTCTGTATAATAGACTGTAAGTAATAAGTCTTAACCTGGGAGTGGCTGCAAACTCAAAAGGGTTACCACAGTAATTGTAATATACCAAAAAATATAAATGCTGTGCCTCCCTGTGATCATGTGATCCATATGCAAAAACTCATCAAATAAACAATAACCTAATTTTAAACAATTCAACAAATAATTTCTTTAAAACAGAGACCGTATAACCTGTAATAATCATAGTCCATATATTGTGCTTAATATATATCTTCCATCATAAAATGTGCCACTTAATTCTCTTCCATGATAAACGTGCACCACCTCCTAAGTGTGAACAACCACACCGTGTATCCACCACTGTTCAAAAATTTGCTCACCTCCACTTTTTTTTACCTGTCCTCTTACAGGTCAAAAGACAGAGGAGAGATTTTGGGGCATGCTTGTAGTAGGGGGTTATCCTGGGTTGGTCTACAATTTTTTGGTTTGCCAGTGTCCAGTTCTCCTGTAAGTAGCATTACAACCCAAATACAAACGACTTCCTGTGTCCCCAAAAGGATTTTATGGTGAGTGCAAAAATCCTTTTACAGTCTGTGACCCCATTGGCTAGGCTTCCCTATACCTACTTAAGAAATGACACAAAGCCACAGACAGCAATAGAAATTTCACAGATTCTAACCTTTCTCTTCTTTTAGTAAATTAATATTGAGCCTGTGTCTGTCTCAAATGAAGAAATTTTTCAACACTTTCTTTTGTGCTGCCCTCCTATCGCCCGAATAAAAAAATTGAGTGTAAATGTCCCCAATGGAGTCACAGACAGCAGTAAGACTACTTTTACACTGATCCCCTGCAAAAAACGCATATGCTTTGCTTTCTGAGTGTTTTTAAAGGACACATGACTTAAAAAACTGCACCAAAAACACTTCTCAGAGGTGTTTTTGATGTGCTTTTCAGGCGTTTTCCATTGATTTCAGTGGGAAGAGGCCTTTTTGGGGGGTTTTTTTTTTCTTTTTTTGACTCCCCACACATGCCCCAAAGAGTTTTTACACCGCACTACAAGCACAATGCCTCAGTGTGAAAACATGCATAGATATACATACATAAGGAAGCATTCTTTTTTAATGTAAAAAATGCTTCAAAAACTCCTCGGTGTGAAAGTAGCCTAAGAGTCTAGCTAAAGTTCTATCCCTTTTCCCACTGCTACACAAAACAAACAAAATCTTTTGGCTGGAACTTGACTTAAGGTGTAATATGTTTTCAAGAAATGCATAGAGTGATTTTGTTTTTAAAATGTGTATTTTTGTTTTAGAGGACAACAGTTTGCTCAACAAATGCAACAACAAAACCCAGAATTGATAGAACAGTTACGCAGTCAGATAAGAAGCAGAACTCCAAGTACAAGCAATGAGGACCAGCATCAATGAGCTGCACCTGAATATCAGAGGATATTGTAATTTTTTTTTCAGGGAATTTGGGCAGAAAGTACCGAGCAACCACACCACAGCCCGTCTTCCTCTTAGATATGTGTGGACAGTGGCTACTGACACACTTTTTATGGGAAAAATGTTTTTTAAACATTCCCTCATGTTTTACTCCCCATAACCACATTTAGAAGGATCCATTAAGTGTCACTTGCCACAAGGTTGCACAAAGGACTGGACCAGTATGGGCATTTGGTTTTTCTGCTGTTGCTGAAGAATATATACATAAACTATATTGGTGTTTCCCTTTTTTCCCAATTTTTCTTTGTCTATGTATAATTTATACAGGGGGTCATGCCCTTGGATTAGCACCATTTACACATTTGTGTTTATGTACTCTGAGAAATTACAGATTCTGTTTCACAGTTCTCACTGATTGGTACATTGAAGTAGGCCTTTCATTATTCCACACACCCAGATTGATTCTATGACTAAAATGGTGTTGACATGTGGAGATTGCAATCAGTTCAAGCATCTGCAAGAGCACTCAAGAAGCTCCAAATTTTGTGGAGGTGTGGGTTAGAAAAGATATGGATCAACTCTTGGCATTTCTAGGAAGTGTTGGAATTTTTACTGCATCCTGAGTTTAGGAGTTCCCAGTGGTGCTTATGAAGATGTTGAAATTATGTGCATTTAATTTGTGGAATCAGTTCAGAATACTAACCAGGTGTACTTTAATCTTCATGTGGACAATACGTCATTATGGTTTTATAGCTATCAGCTAACAATGTTAACCTGGGCCAATTCAAATGATCTGCAAGTGTTGCTCCCCTCAAACACTACTCGGGAAAATACGATTGTAAGCTGCAAGGCAACTGACAACTGTCATCCATGCCCACAGTGTTGTAATAAAATATGGCTGACTGCAGCAATGTGTGTGGTTTTTTTTTTTTTTTTTTTTTTTTTTTTTTTCTTTCTTTTTTTTTTGTTTTTTTTGTTTTTTTGTTTTATTCCTTCTATGTGATATTTACTACCTTTTCCCCCCAGATACAGTTTGGTAAATATATCTAGTACTTTTATATTCTTGAATTTATTTGCTTATTTCAGACAGTGTTTTGCATTTAAATATCGTAAAATGTCACCCTTTGCTTAGAATATATGATAGTTTGGTTTTGGTATAGAAGGAATGTAAAATGTTAATACCAGATGTAGAAGACTGGAAGAAATGCTTTTCCCTCTCACACTTGTTTCCCTTCATCAGTACATTGCTTGACTGAAATTGAGTCACAAAGAGTAGACTTGCAGTACACAGTTTTGAGCTGGGGAACTGTAGCTCTTCTACAGTTGAAGACCCGCACACACACCTTTTTTATTTTTTAGGTTTGGTGGGTTCTGTTACCCAACTATGCCAGCTATTCAAGCCAGTGTTTTATATTCAACAGTTCCTGGTTTCTCTTGGATGAATGCTTTTGGTGTTTACCCAGCTGAAGTCATGTTCTGCAACAATAGAATTTTCTTAAACTGAGCATTGTTTAGCTTCAGGATGCCTTTATAATCATAATGTAATGGAGCCCGCTCCATGCTTCACAGTAGGTATGGTTCCCCCTTGTTTTAAAAGCATCTGTGACTTAACAAAAAGCACAATTTAATTTCACCTGGCTAAAGTACATTCTACCAGAATAAGCATGGCTTTTTAAACATGGTTTTTGGCAAAATTCAGTCTAGCTTTTCTGTGTCTGTCTTTCAGGAGTGAAGATTGGGTCTTCTAACATGGAAGCCACTCTCACTTAGATAGTAATGGATGATGCCACCTATTATTGTTGTATCCTAATCTTGAATGTCAGCCAGAATCTATTTGAAATGTTTCTTTCTTCTTTATCCATCCTTTATCCACCATTTAGATTCTCATTTTGTCCAATATTTCTCCACTATTTAGATTATCATTTTATCCAATCCGGAGTACATTTTCCTCTGATAGCCATGTCCAAGGAGGTTTTATTATATTTACAATAATATTGGTCCTAAAGCAATGTGTTTCATTTATAAAATATGATATAAAGAATAGTGAAAGTTTAACTGTTTTTTTCTGAAGAAAGATGCCATAATTTTTCAAGTATCCTGCAATAGTTGTCAAGCCTATTCGGAAACAGCACGGTTCAGTTTACATTTGTATTGTTACCATTACCTCATTAATGACAATTGAAAACCCTTGAGTGGGGACAGTTTTTGCATTTCTTGATGCTGGAAAAACGGTAATATTGGCCTCTGAAATATGACCTTAAAGTGAACAGATTTCCCCTGAATTCTATGTAAGGGCCATTTATTTATTTATACAACATATCCTTCCTCAGTCGCCCTAAAGGAGAATCAATTCAGTTCCATTAATCTTTCGTCACAGCTGATGCTCTTCATGCACCTTATTAATTTAGTTCTCTTCATTCTTTCCAGTTCCACAACATCTTTTTTTGTGAACTGCCTTCAACTGAACTGCAGATTCAACATGTTTTTTTTTAATGCCTTGTGTAGAAGCACAATTGTCTCTCTCAAGTCTGCCTCTTTGAATACAAGAAAGTATCATCTTGTTCTAGAAGCTGAAGATTAGCATTGCATGCTGTTGTTAAGTCTACCAGGCCACTCTGACTACCTCCTTTACTGATTTACCATATGTTACATCTCTTAGCCAATGAGTTCATGACCTTTAATCCGCATTGAACTTTATTTGCTATGTAGTGGTACAATCACCCGATATGTCTAGGTCAGCTGGAAAGTTAGACATTTTAAACCAAAACATCTATCCATTTACAGACTAAGATTTTAAACCACCCTGTTCATGAATAGGTTTGTTTAGGCTGCAATGTTTTTGGCCTTGGAGTCAACACACTAGTATTTGTTACTGCCTATGACCGTTGAAAGGGTAAAGGGCAATGGTTTATGGATGGGGGTGAATAGTGGCATCTGGAAACGACCAAGTATATTTACCATTAACATATGTAAAACATTTTTTAAATTTGTGTTTTTGTTCTGTACATTTCATTTAAAAATTATTCCCCTTCTTGTAAGATTTTAGCCATAGAAAAAAAATGTCGCTGCTGGGATGCTCCGTCCTTTTCCTGTCTCTGAACTTCCAGGGTTTTGGGGATTTAATCTGGGTCTTATGTGAAGCTGCTGTGAAAAAATTCCCAACAAGGACCTCCTCCAATGCTTTTTCATTGCTTTCACTGCCTGTGACATGATCTCTGGATGCGAGTGAGAACCCTGTGACTCATCAGACTCTTACCCCACACAGGACAGGTTGATATTCTGGAACCAACCAAACTGCCTTTCGAAGCATGGACCCTAGCAAACAGCTGAAAAATATAGTCTAGTAATAACGCCTTCTTCTCACAACAGGTTTTTTTCTTCTAGGATAGCACACTTCTCTCTGCTCTAAGAAACGCAAACCATTTTATTTTTTTGTTAATTTGTCAAAATGTTTTTCTAGTAGCAAGTTTTTAATTTAGCTACTGTTGAGCAACTTAAGTCGACTGCTTTTTTTTGTTGTTCGCAGCAGAATCGACACCTGTGTTTATATGTATAAAAACTTTTGGATGCCAGCTTGGGATCGTGAGGTGTGCCTAAGCTGCAAGCACTGAAAAATATCTTAGTGGGAGTTTAAAAATCTTCAAAGTTTGATGTATATTGTGTGTACGTAAAGCACTCCATGGGAGGACCAGGATTCAAAACCCAGTAGCTTATCAAGCTCTTCACAATGACTTATTCCAAATTGGGGTGTATCACATATATTCTTCATATTGTACCCAAACCTACATAGAATTCTATTCTCTAGCCAATGACCGGAGGGGTATTGCAAGTACATAGCTACCGAGCCTGCCTCCAAGTGAGAAAAGAGGGAATATAGAGAGCAAAAAAAGGGGTACCCTAGATTAGGTCTTCTAAACCAGTCATATCCCAACCTACTTGATGTTTGTAACTGGGCAGAATTAACCACTTCAACCTGGGAACGTACAGGTATGTTTTAAGGATGTGAAGTGGTTATACCGAGATCATGGCTGCAGCCATGATCCTATCAAAATTTTCAGCCAACGATGGGCTTTACTGTGGAAGTGACCTGAGCAGCCAGCAGCCACCCGATCACTTCTACAGGGTTAGAAGGGCCCCTTCCCACTGTTCACAGTCTCAGTGGTGCGATCAGGGAGCCTAGGACTGCTGCCACCTGTCATGTCCAGTAAAGAGGGAGGGAAGGAAGGTACATCTCCCTTTGATCAGATGCTTTTGAGGGCAGAGGATAGTAGACCCCAGATCTTTCAGTAAAGAGTATCTGTTACCGACCATGCTATCATGAGGAATGTTGTTCATCCCTTGTGCTAGCAATAATGTTGATAAAAAAATGTAAACTGTGTAAAACATAAAATAAATGTGACATGTTGGGTATCTATTTACTCTGCATAACATAATCTTTTATAGTTTACCAGAAACGTGGGTATTATATTGTTTGTGTGCACTAAAATTCATTAAAGTGTATTTTTACCTAAAAATGTGTGTATTAAAAATGGTTCTGGATATATCATACGTAACAAAAAATTGCAGCAACCACTATTTTATTCACCAAGGTCTCTGCTTTCAAAAATTGTAGCTGCAAAGCCGATTCCCCCTCAGCTCATCTGCCTGTCCTCTCCACCAGTTTACTGTGGCAAGTGAGACAAGCTGCAGGTTCTGTGTAACTTACCACTGTCCCCTTCCTCCTGTCAGCAGTGCAGAGTTTGACCACAAGGGAGGACTGTGTGTGTAGACTCTTCCCCCTATCTCCTAGCAACAGCAGTGGACCAATCAGCAGTAAGGGGGAGAGACTCAGATGTTTCCAGAAAAATAATTCTCAGTGTGACAGGAGAGTAATGTGACAAGATCATGTCAAGGAAACGCGTAAGAAAGCAAGAGCCTGGACAGCGGAGCCCACAGCCATGTGAGGGACAGCTAGAGGTTACAGTGCATTGCTCGAGTACTGA